CGCGAACATCTCCGTTAATCCAGGGTTTTTGATTTGGGAAGGATTTAACTGTTCTGGATGGGACGACATCTTCCACTGAATATGATCAAGTGGCTAGAGACTAAAACTAATAAGTCTATAGTTTAATTGTCACATAATTACAACCTGTTACTGCAGGTAAAGCACGAGTGTAATAAATCACCTCGAAACCCCCTGCAATGTTTACTCAAAAATGTTTGGAATCACAATGATATAATTTGAAAGTGCAGGCAGATAGAGAGAGAGAGAGAGAGAGAGAGGTGCGTAGCCTAGGCCTGATAGTGGATGTAGCTGTGGGTAATGAGAAAAGATAAAAAGATAACTTTTTTGTTAAGTTAAGGCCTGATCTGTTGAAATTCATAGCCAGTGCTCTGACAACCTCTCAGGTTACGTCTAACACTGGTCCAGAGACGGCATCGACCTCTAAGCCAGAGCACACTGAAAGTAAAAGGGGGAAAGTGCATACATTTCGAAGAGAGTGGCTTGACCAGTTTTCCTGGCTAAGATACAGTAAAGCTGCCAACATTATGCACTGCATTTGCTGTCGTGCGTGTAGAAAGACCATGCCCGGCAATACTGCATTTGTGACTGGTGCAAATACGTTTTGAATTGAAACGCTGAAAAAGCACAGTGTATCTAGAAAACACATTATATGACACAATATAAATGCACTGCCCAAGTGTCCCCTCTCTCCACTGCCTTTCAGTGGCAGGCAGCAGCAAACAGGTCATCAGAGGAGGCCAAATGATGATTAAGTTTAACAGTGCCTACAATATTGCAAAGAAGAATTTCCATTCTCTAAGTTGAAGTCCGAAATAATTCTTCACAAGAAAAATGGCTTGAACGTAAACTCCACATACAGTAATGATGTCACATGCGCCCAGTTTTTGTGAACCTAACTTTTGTGCTGATGCACAGGCGCACCAATGCAACCATGACGAAAAGTTAGTCTAGAGCCCTGGGGTATTATCGTCACCCTACTGGGCAGGGGGGTGGCATGGACACCTACATTTGTGAATGGGATAACGTAGACGCTTCAAGTTAATACTATAGGTGTATGTACTAAAAATCTCAGAAGAGTTCAAATCTCAGTGACTTTGACCTTAAGGTCAAAGGTGAAGTTTTATGAAAATCTTGTGACTGCGTAAACTGGAGAATAAAATTACGTAGAATTTTTAAATTGATCCCATAGGTGTGTCTGCTAGGAAGCTGAGAGGTAGCGTTGGTGGTTGGGCCGATACTGTTGTTTAAAATAACAATTTGATTGTCTTTGTTTTTTGGAAATGTAGTTATTAAAAATGCAGTAGATGTATTCACACTCTTTGAATATTTAGACAGCCCACTACAGATTGATGTGTCACAGTACATAAACATCAGCCTCTGGCACTAGTAATCATCATTGTATTTGCAGACAGGAGTTTATATTATATTATATTATATTATATTGTATTATATTTAGTGCTGTCAGTGTTAATCTCGTTAAAATGATGAGTTATCGCGAATCGCCCTGTGCGTGGGGCTGGACGGCGTTAACGAGCTAACCGTGCTCACGCGTTGATGCTGTGTAGCCCCACGCACAGAGCGATTCATGAGATTAACACTGACAGCACTAATTATATTAGATATTTCTTTCACTCCTACTAATTAATGAATATGTATACATAGTGTTTGCAATTGACTTGTTATAGAATGTTGGTTTATGTGACATTCCTGTTACCATACGTAATGGCAGCTATATTGCCATCCAACTCGGGTCTTTGTTTAATCAGGTGAAATTTTCACAGCTCATGCCGCTTGTCTGTTCCTGCCAGGTGACTGTGGTGTCTGTGGCTTCCCCGACCTCCGGTGCTTCTCAGAAGTCTGTAGCACTGCCTGTGAATGTAGCACTTGGCCAGCAGATCCTGACAGTCCAGCAGTCAACATCTGTATCTCCAGTCAAGGTGGCCACTAGCCAATCAACAACGCAGGTAACATGAAAGCACAGAACAGTCAGTTGTAGTTGATACCATCTGATCTGAGGGGAGAAAAGGAATTTAAAAAAAAAACAAAAAAAAACGTATTCACCTTGTTTGTGCATAAGTGTCATTTCAGCTCCGTATGAGAGTCAAGGAGTTGCAGCATACTGCTGTGATGTGCAGTCATGCTATTTTCCTCCTCTCTTCTTTCTTGCTCTTGAGTGCACCTCATTTTACTGCTACACACAAACAGGCCGCATTTAGGATTGAGCTGACAGGAAGCAGGTGAAGACGGAGACAACTCACTGTTACTGCAAGTGCAGTTTTACAAAAACAGAACAAAACCTCCCAAACTTCCAAATAAGCATTACACTGATGAATGAAAACAAACATGGAGCAAACATGCAGTTAAAAGCTGTGGAAAGATAAAAATAGAGTGAAATGGCTTCTTCTGTGCTATGTTAGCTCTTGAAATAATAATTGCTGCTGTGTAGTGAACACAGAAAGGAAGTGAATAGATTTAATCACTTATATCCGATCCAACCTTTTTGGGTCAAAATGGAGGAAATCCGCTCCAAATATCAGATTGATACATCTGCAGTTGGTGGGATTGTTGTTTATAGTCTGACACAGTTTGTAGTAAACAGACTGCTCATTACTCAAAATGATTGGCTCAGTTGTGCACTGCATGCTTTGATTTAAAAAAAAAAAAAAAAAAAATTCTCTCAAATTTGTACCATTATGGAAATATTTCACTTTTTCTGGTAATAAAGTTCCATCTGTTAATCTCCACCTTATCGTGGTAGAGCAGCGGTCTCCAACCTTTTTTGCGCCACGGACCGGTTTATGCCCGACAATATTTTCACTGACCGGCCTTTAAGGTGTCGCGGATAAATACAACAAAATAGAACTAGTACCGGTACCGAAAAAAAGATTTATTCATAACACATGTGAAAAGACCCAGGAAAACCGAGTTAACGATAAAAACGATAACAAAATAACGCTGAAAACTGATTAAAAACCCTGAAAACTATAAATTTCACACCTGAGCCTCAACTCTTGCGGCCCGGTACCAAACGACTCACGGACCGGTACCTGTCCGAGGCCCGGGGGTTGGGGACCGGTGTGGTAGAGGATTCGCGTGGCCCAGGGATCCCAGCAGCTATGTTATTGGGTGGTCTTTCGCCCCCTGGCAGGATCTCCCAAGGCAAATTGGTCCTGGGTGAGGGACCAGACAACGGGCAATTCAAAAACCCCTATGAGTGAAACTGAGGAGGGTGCCCGAGGGCGAGCGCCTGTACATTGGAGTCCGGTTTTTCCCACTGCAATTTCTAGAGAAACTGAATTTTCTTCTTTGTATATAAAACAATAAGTTGTGCAGTTGTTTTTGTTCAACTGACTGCATTGCTAAAGCCATGGCCATCTGATGCAGAAAAGGCAGGACAGACCGTGTCATGTTTCTCTCAGTGCACTATGTGGGGCACCAATGATGATGACTTACTTCGCATGTAAATTTTACCTCCATAGCAATATACATTTTTGCCAGAAATAAAATGGTTGTGTAAGATTGTTTCCAAGCAGATAGAAAGATAATTAATACTCAAAACAATTAAATGTTTTCATGTGACCACCTGCCCCAACTATGATATAAGATTGTTTTTATGCATTTTACATGTATAACAATAGATCAGCATTTGGGGAGCTTAATCCTGGCCTGCAAAAAAGAAACTGAAGTGCACTTTGAAGATTGTATTGCCAGTAAAACGGGCAGCTCTTAACAAACTGCTTTCAGGATGAGGTTCTTTAGGTTTTGTTGTTGTTGTTGTTTATTTTGTTTTTTTTAAATTTTCTCTTCTATTACTGGCTTCAGTCTGTTTCTCCGTTTGATGTGAATGTTTTCAGAACATTAAACCTGTGGCTGTTGGAGGAGTGGGAGGTTCCCAGTTTAAAACAATCATACCCCTGGCCACCCAGCCCAACGTGCAGCAGATCCAGGTGCCTGGCAGCAGGTTCCACTACGTTCGCCTCGTCACAGCAACGACAGCGAGCAGTACAGGACAGCCCAGTGGTCCCAGTACCAGCTCTATACAGACAGGTGACCTATGAACTTGTTTTGTTTCCTCTGCTAACAAATACAGGCAGCACTTAGTAATTGCGCTGTACCAACTCGTGATGGTGCTTATCCCACAGCTAAACCTATGGTGGTCAGTACAGCAGCGGTCAGGATGTCTGTCCCAGTTGTCCCAGCACAGACCATGAAACAGGTAACCTGGGTATCCAAGTTCATTCAAAGAGAACTTTCTCTGAAATGTCCCTTGAGCTGCATTCATGGTTTTTATTCCCCGTAGGTGGCACCTAAGCCCTTAACATCAGGACCACAAGTAGTAACCACCACTCAGACTCAGCAACGTTTGATCATGCCTGCGACTCCACTACCCCAAATCCAGCCCAACTTCACCAACCTCCCTCCAGGCACCGTCCTGACACCAGCTCCAGGAGGAGGGAATGTGGGTTACGCGGTTGTGCCAGCACAATATGTCACACAGGTTAGCGAATTATCTTTGTGTGCTTTTTGGTTTGACAGGGTTTTTTTTTTGGGGGTTTTTTAATAATTCAAGTATTTATTAGATTTTGCATTTTATAACAGCAAATACAGAGATGCAGCAACCAAAAGCAAGAAACAAACAAACAAAAAAAATTAAATAAATGAATAATAAAAAAAAAACCACAACAAAACAAAACAAGTGAGGTTTTAACATATGTTGTATTAAGCTCAAATGTCCAAGTCAGGTAGACATGTAGGTGCAAAAATTGTCCCACTGTTCCAGCGCAGCTTCCGTCTCATGATGTATTTTTCCCAGCATCTTTTCGCATGCAACATTCCCAATCATTCTGTCTTTCCACATTTTAAGCGTTAGAGTATGGGAGTCCTTCCAGTGTTCCAAAATGACACGGGCACATGTTACCAATGCAGTACTTAACACTCTAAACTGGTACTTATTTAATTGCAGCACCTCTCCTTTGTCTCCTAGTAAACATAATTTAGGTGATCTGGGTAGGTTACAAAGTGTCCACCCCTGCAAATAATTCAGTACAGTGTTCCAAACTGGAAAAACCAGCGGGCATTCCCAGAGTGCATGTATCAGAGTACCTTTGGCTTGTTGGCATTTCCAACACAAGTCATCTCTACCAATCCCCATTCTATACAGCCTTGAAGGAGTATAATAGTATCCGTTAAGAATTTTGTATTGAATAAATTTCCCCCTGGCTTCCCTAATGTATAATCCATTGTTCGACAATATAGAATCCCATGTACCTTCATCCATTGTACGCCCTGGTTTGAAGGGTTTTTTTGTTTTGTTTTGTTTGTTTTTTTGTTTCTTTGTTTTTAAAAGATTGATTTCCTTTTCCTGAGTGAGTTTCAATATCGTGTTTCTTCTTTTCTCATAGATCCAGCAGCCACCATTTGTGACGCTTGCCAGCAGCTCTAGTTTTTCTGCATCCACTGGTATCCAGACTCAGGCCAGATTGCCTCTTAATGGGTAAGAAATGGTAGAAGCCATCTTACTATGACTTTTGTTTTTATATATATTGCATTGAAAGACCAACTAAATGATATCTGTTCTATTTAAAAAGATGTTTACCAAAATATTAAAGTGATTTTCTTCATTTGTTCTCGTGACTGTCTATAGTTTAATCTAATTAATCTTCATTGGTTCAGTTTGTCAGCAGCAGAAACAACCTCAAGACCAAGAAAACCATGTAACTGTACCAAGTCACAGTGCCTCAAACTGTAAGTGTAATGGTCACTGATAATGTTTATCCATTGGATAAATCTGTCCAGGTGTAGCTCAATAATTAATACATGTTTGTATACAAACTATATGTTTGTAATTTCAGCTGAATATTTTGTAAAGTCATCTGTGACATTATATTTTAGCTTTTTGTCTCTGAGTCAGAAAGAAGAAACCAAGTTCCTGTTTACGCTCCATAAATATTGATGCATATTTTTAATATTGTAAATATTTTTTTGCTCATCTGGCAGAGGGACAAGTCTCTTTCTTAAAAAACATTAAGACAAAAGTTCAGTGGACTTGAGCTTAATTTGATTTGTTGGTCAAAGTAGGGCTGGGTTTTTATTAATGAACCTGTAGAAGGATTATCAGTTGCCTGCAGCTGCCTTTGTCTCCAGATTGCTCAGGTTCTCTAACCTGGTATGCTTTCAGTATTTGTGACAGTTGGCTTTCTGCGTTGGCTCTCTCTTGTCTGCTTCCAGCTGCTGTGTAGGTCTCCTGAGGCTCACAAGCCCACTGCCACTTGCGGCTAGCTGTGTCCTTACCTGCACCCACAGGCGTCTTACAGTGGAGGCCAAAGGCTGGCAGGGAATCACGTGTGCCCTTGCAAAATGAGATTTATGGTCATAAACACCCCATGGTGTTTTTAACCCTCATTGTATTTAAAGTTCAATAAAATCTCAGTTCAGTGACTTTATTATGTTTACTTTAAGGAATAATCATTGTTAATAATATAGATAACAGTAATCAGTATTATTATGTTTGCACTAATCTAGCAGCTTGCAGTCATATTAATCTCATACACAAATGCCTGGGTAAAACTCTAAATTCATGACCTTTATTTCCAGGAGGTCAAAGAACAACTTTGCTATGAAATCGCCATGGTAAATGATAAATGGACTGGTATTTATGGTTTTTATAAGTGCTTTATACAACATGCCTAATTCACCCTTTCACACAAGCATTTCTTTCTACACCTAAGGGCTCTCTGATGTGTTTCTTATTAACACTTGGAGCATAACTTGGGGTTCAGTATCTTGCCTAAGGATACTTTGGCATGCAGACTGGAGCAGCAAGAGATTTAACAAACAAACTTCCAATTAGCTGACCTGCGTAGCTGGTAATGGCTAGTTTAAAAAAATCCTAATACAGTATTATTTTGCGGTGGAAACCATTTTTCCTTTTTATCTGAGTTTAGGAAGCACTGAGAAACTTAATGTTGCTGAATCAAATTACAGTTGACATGGTTTTATTAAATGGTGGGGTTTTTTTTGTTTGCCTTCCTATAGCTACTGTGACTGTTTTGCAAATGGAGAGTTCTGCAATAACTGTAACTGCAATAACTGCTTCAATAACCTGGAACATGAAACTGAACGTCTCAAAGCTATAAAGGTGAGGCAGAAGTCCACTTTCTGAATTCTGTTTTTGGGCTGAACTGCATCCTGTTTGACTCATAAATTGCTGCACAAACATGTTTTCACAGACTTGTCTGGACCGAAACCCAGAGGCCTTTAAACCTAAAATTGGTAAAGGCAAGGAGGGAGAGTCGGACCGTCGACACAGCAAGGGCTGCAACTGCAAACGCTCAGGCTGCCTGAAGAACTACTGCGAGTGCTACGAGGTAAGCTCTCCAGTTTTCTTTTTTTTTACAGATGGCGTCACCTCCATTCATTCGTCTCTTATTGGCATTTATTTCCTTCATTTTTGTTTCTCTTCACAGGCGAAGATCATGTGTTCGTCCATTTGTAAATGCATCGGCTGCAAAAACTTTGAGGAGAGCCCGGAGAGGAAGACGCTAATGCATTTGGCAGATGCAGCAGAAGTGAGAGTTCAGCAGCAAACGGCAGCCAAGACCAAACTATCCTCACAGATCTCAGATTTGCTCATGCGGACGACGCCTGTGATTTCAAGTGGAAGTGGCAGGTACCTGAAACACAGTTCACACATTTTTCAACATAAAATCAAATCTGCAAAGAGCCTCTTTTACAGTAAGCATATGATATGTACTTTTGTAGAATCTTTAGCTTTAGCTAAAGTGTTGCACAAGTAAGGGCTGCAGGAGATTGACTGACAGATTGATACAGGATCTGCAGTGATGCGGACACAGTACCACAAGAATTAGAAATGATCTTCCAGTGAAGGGTGGCTGGACACTCCTTTAGAGAGAGGGTGAGGAGCTCAGTCATTTGGGAGGGACTGGAGTTGCATCTTTTGATGGCTTATGAAGGCCTTTATGTCACCCTGCAAGAGGTGTCCAGGAAGAGGGAGATTGGGTGATCTGGATCCTGATACTCAGGAGAGATGAGTGAATAAAGCACTTATCTTTCATTTTATTTCAACAATAATGGCTACATCCCAGATACATTGTAAGGAAGTCTTCTTTTCTTGCAAGGACCAACTTATGTCTAGGCATGCACCCTGGGCACCAAACCAATACCAGTGTTAAATTAATAAGCTGTATAGAAGAAGACACTCAGAATCTCTGTCATCTGCAATGCAACATCAAATTTGACCTAAACTACCTAAACTTTAAAACTTTAAGTAGAGACGTACGCGCTTTCAGAAACGGTGCAAAATGTGTGTGTTTCCTGTACAAGCTGCAGGAGTGTCAGCACATCTATATGAAGCTATGGAGTGGGTCATTAAAACTCACTTGTGTCTGATTGACATGGAGTCTCCACGATCCATCTGCTTACTACTGCTGAGACCAGATAATGATGGCTTTGTTGTCAATACTCATTTATTTTGCTTTCCCCCCAGGCTCCCGTATACGTTTGTAACAAAGGAAGTGCTTGAAGCAACATGCGAGTGTCTGCTGGAGCAGGCCAAAAAAGCAGAACAGACTCACCAGCCTCAAGTTGAGGCAGAGAGGATGATTCTGGAGGAGTTTGGACACTGCCTCATGAGGATAATCAGCTCGGCAGGGAAAGCCAAATCAGACTGTGCCTCCATCAACTGCTAGGCCGAGGCCTGTAAAGGCTCTCCACCCTCTAACCCTCCTACCAGCTGTGGAGGCTAAGAGAATGGATTACTTTTTGCACTCTGTCCTAGACCCCAGGGTTTCTGGCCTGCAGGGAAACAGGTTGTCTCCTTCATCAAAAGGCAGAACAATGAACTGAAGGCAGGCAGATCCCACCCCCACCCCCCTGCCTTAGCCAAGCTGAGGCCAGCTGGAATAATAAAAAACATGGAGCAGTTGTTTGCACTGTTCACCTATGCTAACAGAAGGATAAATGGACTGACTTTGAAGACGTTACCATACTTATCCACCTGAGTGTGATGCACACAAATGACTGAACAGGAATACAAATGTTCTTTCACTTGATTTTCTTTTTTTTTCTTCTTTTTTTCACCCCCCCCCCCCCGCCAAATTTCCCTTCCAAACCTCTATCAAATGTTTCCTTCACATTTGCTCTTCCATTTCACTCTGGGTTTTTTTTAGGTTTGTTTTGAGGTTTAAAAAAATGCCTGTAATTTTATGTAATCCGTATATTTGTGCTTTCAGTAGACAAAAAAAGAATATGTATCTTTTGATATTTATTTTCACAGGTATTTGTAATCATTGTCAGCGCTAATATTGTGTGGCTTCAAATGCTACAACATGTTAATTATTAACCAAGGCTAGGCTAAATTGTTTTAATGAGAAATAAGTAGATGCAATCTTTGGTTTTATCCTAAATCCAAATGTAAGATGAATACACACACACACACACACACACACACACACACACACACACAGTACAGAATAGTTGTAACTTGGTTACACTGACAGAGGTTCACATTTTTCCTGGTGCTGTTTTGTTTTCTTAGTTACATGCTTACTGTACATTAAAGACCAATTACACCCACGTGACTTGTTTAGTGTTCTTTCAGATATCTGGACACGATAGCCTGAGTGTTAGTGTTTTCCAGCCCTGTCCACACCTGTGTACCTTTAGACCCTCTGTCTCAGTTTTAGTCTGGCCTAAGCTATAAAGCTGAGACTTGTGAACAAGGGCTAGAAGAGCTGCTTGTTGTGCTTTTAAGTAAACAAATGTGGGCAAAGCTTGTTTTTATGTATGTTTGTTTTTTTTCTATTTAGGTTATAAACTTCAAACAGGAAAGTTATTCACGGAGTTCCACGGGAACACTGTCCCAGTACTGTCAATGAAGCCAGATGACACAAATCAATTAAAATACAGGACACTCTGTGAAACATAAGTGTTGTAAAACCCATTTAAAAAGCATTCAGCTGATCCAAAACACTACATCAAGTATGCTAACAGGAAAAGAGATCATATTTCTCTTATATTGTTTTCTCTTTCTTGTTCTGCCTTTGAGCACCATTACAGACCTTCTAGTTCTATTATTTTTTTATTAGTTCTCTCATGTACACACTCATATACAGGCATGATATATCTGTCAGCATACATTCAAGTAATCACTTCAGGCTTCAGTCTGCTGAAGAAGGCTCATTAACCAAAGCATGCTACAGCATCTGCCAAACATGCTGGAGGTGGAAGCATTGCTATGGCAACTCTGTATACCTGCCATTGGAACTAAGTCACTGGTGTATATTGATTATGTGACTGCAGATAGAAGAATTCCTCACTCTCTGCTCAGACTCAGCCAAAACTGACCAGATGGTGTTTCACATTGTAAATGGATAATTTCTTTGCAAAGAAATGGGCTGTCCTTCAAAGGATAGGTCAGTCGTCTGATCATACAGGTTACTGAAGAAAAAGGGGAAGGGTGAGAGACGTTACTGTGTGCTGTGTTTTTTAAGAAAAAGAAAAGAAGAAATGTCAATTACTTCTAGACTTCAGGCAGTTGTTGACTGCAAAAGATTTTCATGCAACTAAAGAGTCCTTAAATTTGAAATGATGTCAATCTGTCCAATAACCTTTGAACATATAAAAATAGGCAACTTTGCATAGAAATATTTGTAATTCCTAAAAAGTTAGCAGAAAATTGTTTTACAAGTCACTGAATTAAAGCTAAAAGTCTTATTATTAGGTAGACATGGTACATGCAGGTGCGATTACTGAGATAAAACAGTGCAACGTGTCGGATGTGTGAGGCAGAAAGAAAGAAGGTTGAGTAGATTTTAACTGGGTCTATTACAAATATAAAGCAACGGGGGTTATCAAGTTGTATTTCTTTATGTTGATTTTCTGTACCACTTGGTGGCGACAGTCATTGGTGATGGCAATCCACCACTTCGTTGTTTGACCGTCGAAGAAGAAGAACAGCAAGAAGAAGACACGCAAAGAAGAAAAAGAAGCCGAAGGAGAACCGTGAGTGTTGGTGTTGGCGGTCAGTATCATGGCTGGGAAAATAAGGCTCTCAGAGAAAATTAGTTTCTGAAATGCGAATTGTTATATGTACCTTAAATTGCATTATCTACACCATTCCTCTAGGTTAAATGTGTAGACGGTTTGGGGAGTTAGCTCACTTCTGAACGTGATTTGAAACGAGGTGTGCCATTGAACGTTAGCCCAACTAACCCCTCTGCACGTGTGGACAGAGACTAGGTTGCAAACTTTGCTGGTTTGGTGAAAAAGTAAAATGTTGATCAAGAGTCGCCGCCAGCAAAATAAGCCAACATTTTCTGAAATTGGAGTAAACGCGTAAAAAAAATCGGCGCACATCCCATAATTGTAATTCAATTTTTTTGTTTTTTTGCAAAATACAACTGTACGATAATCGTATTTTGCAGGCAACTTATGTTCTGATTCGTGTGCTGGTTTATATAGAAACTAATTGATTTTGTTTTCACAGGTTAGCTGCAGAAAAGAAGTTCCCTTGAAGTGAGCCACGTGTGGATGTGACTTGCATGTATGTATGTCTTCATGCCCAACAACATATTGTGAAATAAATATCCTTCCCAATGATTATACCAATCACTACCCATCTGACCCATTCATATGTCTGGGGAAGATTATACACACGCTTTCAAATGAGGGTGTTATCTTATATTTTCTTAACTAAAGTGCACCTCTACTGTTAAATTTAACAGTTTATTTTATTACTCCGATTGTTTTTACAGGGTTCAACTGCTGAAATGTTTCCCCGAGTTCAGGTGATGTATTGATATAGATGCATAATGACCTGACTGCTTTGCCTTCATGTTACTTTAAATTTGTTGTCAAATAAAATCAACTTGTCAAGAAAGTTTTGTTTTGTGACATTCATTGGCTGTCGCTACCTTTTTAGTACATATATTAAAACAATGCAGAAAAATACATTGCCTCTGATTCTCTTTACTGTTAGCATTGACAGAGTCAGACGGCTAATCTTGTAGATAAACTATAGTTACTCTAGTTCTATAGTTATGATTTTGTCCTACTGCTTTATCGCTATTTGGTGCTAATTTGTTAAAAAAAAATTGGATTAATCCCTCCCCAAGATATTTGAACAGTTGTTAAGTAGGTAACTGAACAAGATTTAATGACAATTTGAGTCAAAACAGGCAAAAATATTTTATAAAATGTTATTTTTGGCCTGTGAGACTTCTTTTGTAGACTCAGCAAATTTGGACCTTTTTCTTAATAGTCACTCTGTTAGTAACCAAGTTTCTAAAGATAGAATTTAAAATGTGCTCTTTTCTATTTTGTATGTTATGTGCAAAAAATTAAATTCCATGTAGTTTTTATGCATATAGCACCAAAATGTACACCTGTTATTTATTCCTATCGCTTAGGTGCCCTTTTTATGAGTGTCAAGTGGCTTAAACAAACAAAAAGGAATCACTCCTTTCAAAATGGTGCCGTACAAGAACTGAATGTGACTGAAAAAATAAAACCCTAAAAGAACAGCAAGAATGCCGAGAAAACTACAGCTCGAGTCACTGGGAGCAAAATATAAATGAATGAGGGGTGGCTAAAGATTTTTTCATAATACTGTAAATGAAATACTTTAAATAATATAAAGACCGGTTCGTTACTATTCCTACTCCTTAATAAAGAAACACTTTAAAATGATAAATGCTCACATAAAATAGTTATTACTAATATTTTTAGCGTTTATTATAAAAATCTTAACATTAGCATAAGTTAGCAAAAAGGGAGAAGCTCCCCCGGAAGTCGTTCTTCTTCGTGGCAGGAGGAGGCTGTTGCTTAGTGCCACGTTGATGGAGACCAGTGGGGACGTGGAAATCTGTCTCGAGTCCGCAGCCGGGACCCGGTAGCCTCTTCTTCTGTTTCTACAGCTGTAAATCCCTGAGCAGAATCGAAAGGGGAACCTGTACGGGCGGAGACAGTTAGTGTTTGCCTACTGTTTTTTTTAATGTGTGCGTTCATGTGAAAAGAAGAGAAGAAGAGAAGGTAAGCTGCTTTAGTGAAGTAATAAGATCTGTGTGCGGGTTTGTGTGAATGTGTAACTATTTCTTCTCTAATATGTTCCTGCAGGTAGCTAGCAGGCTTCTAAACGCAATATCTCATTGCAGCTGCATTAGTCCAAGCTGAACCATGTCGTAGTAAACATGTACAAGAAGTGACAATAAATTTACGCGCATTTCTCGTATTATTCGAGGCTCATAAACGACACGGCTGTGTGGCTTTTAATTGGTCCACCAGCTGTTAGCTTGCTGCTAGCAAGGACTTTTATTTTGTAATTTTAACCAAACGACTGCAAAACTTCTCGGAGCTTCTTTTAAAGCTAAATGTAGCATTTCTGATGTCCTTTCCCGACACAGCCCCGAGCTACACAAAGCGTGTGATAATTAGTGCCAGTCAGAGCAGGCCTTTGTTACTCTGTAACTAGTGTATTTATTACAGCAGCAAGATGAATGGGAAAGCGTGTGTAAAACTGTAACTACTTGTTTATTAAGCGGTCCGCTCCCCTCGATGTAAAAGAGACAGATTCACACTTTTGAAAGTCGTTATTAATATGGTATTAAAATTCTTTGATATTGTTAGCACACCTAACGGAAAATAATCCATAGCAGTCCTGCAATAAATGCAACTCCATGAAGGTGTTGTGTTGTGGTTGAACTGATAGAAAAGTCAACACATAAAAAGTTATCAATATTGATTTTTGTTTCCACAGCAGATTTCTGCTTATATATCCAGCCTGTCATAAGTGTCTAATGAACACTTAACAGTGTTTACAATGTGGTAAACGATGCTATAACTCAAATAAACAATTCAGTAAGATTCAGCTGGAACCTCTAAAGTGATCATACAACCAAGCCAGTACCTTGGGGAAACGCTAAGAAAAAACTGCACATGTTAACCTTTATAAAGCTACCATTAAAAAGCATTGTATTTAGCCACTTCATTTGAAACTGATCGTTTAAGCTCTTTTTTATTGTCATAGAAACTAAACTACATGAAAGGATTCAATATCTGGTTATTCTGAACGCTAAAGTGAGAGAAAAGTGTCATAAATAAATTGTAATAATCACTGCACAGTCGTTCAAACTATACCCTTATTTCTCAAGGATGAAACTTAAAGTGATCAACCGCACAGCCATCCAGAGCTGGAGTCCTGCACAGCACCACCCCATCTACCTGGCAACAGGTATGAGCATGCAGAGAGCATCAGTACAGGCGTGCATCTGCTGCCGTCTGTCACTTTGACATGAAATTACATAATTTATGTCAGTTACTTCAGCCATTTTCACAGCCTCTTTAAGTGGAAAATGACATGTTTAGTGTTGTATATTTAGGGCTGCAAGCATGTGGGACATTTAATCATGTGAGGACGATGCAGGCTTCAGAATTCTCTATGAAGTTGTCCTTATTATGAAAATAGCAGGAGGCCAGGGCAAATATTTGTAAAAGTGGGTGCTATCAGTGAACTTTTAACCCATATTCACTAAATAAGAATGAATGATAAATCAACTCCGCACCTCTGGAGACAGAGTTGTTATGGTGTGACTGTACAAACTGTAGTTGGTGTTAATGAATAGAGCATTTTATCTGTAATTTACACTTAAATGTGATGCTACCACATTTTCTGTTGTCAGGACTGTAAGGCACATGAACTAATACAGTCTCTCACCTTCCATTTCCATAGTCTTTAAAATGCTCCGCAGCTCTCGTCAGGTTTTTTTTTAATGTACACCAACAGAAAATGTTCTGTCCCATTTCAGCTGGGTTTTCTTCTGTTTCAATTTTAGCCATCATACTGTTGTTTAATCCCTGTTTTACATATTTGACATGATATAGTAAATGTATTAGATAGTAATTGATCATATGAGCTATTCTTATTAGTAAAATACACTTTTAAAAGAATTTATTTAACTTATTTTTGCAGAAATAGCTGGAAGGTTTTTTTTCCTCAAATAATGAGCAGTACCATGCAGATATGTAATATCACAGTTTAAGAATGGATGGATACTAGAAAGGCAAAATTTGCCAAATAAATGATGCTGCACATCCCCAAGAATCAGTTGTATGAGGGATAAAATGCTCTGGACTGATGATATGAATAGAGCATTTATCTTAACAGCTTGTTTTGTTTCCTTGTTTGCATATTATTTTTCACACTTGATGATGTTTCAGATCATCAAACAGGTTTTAATATTAGATAAAGATAACTCAAGTAAATACAAAATGCAGTTTTTAAATGATACAAAAACATTATCCAAACCTACCTGGCCCTTATCAACCGGGTTATGCAGCAGGACAATTTTCTAAAACATACCACAAAGTCCACTTCTGAAAGTCTGATTCAGATGGCAAGGAATCGGCTTGTTTAGTGACCTTAAGTACACAGTGAGATTAGGAACGCCTCAATCGCTACAAATAAATCTGGTAAAAGCCAGCACGTCTCTGGTAAACCACTTAGTATTAGTGTTACAGTTAGGCTGAATTTTATCTACATGCTGAACAAGCATAGTTTCTGTTACCTTTCACATCTAATTTCTTACATACATTTTGACTTTAGAATCCATTTGTTAGAATATTCCCCTACAGATGAAAATGAACGGTCGAAAAATAAACAAGAAAACAAAAAAAAAAAAAACAAGTGAAAAGCTAACTTGCTTACCTAAGCATGGGTTCTCAGAAAGCTATGAGACACAGGAATGGAGATTTCCTCACTACTGCAAAAAACCTTTCTACATAGTATAAGAGTTTGAAAAAACAAGACAACTGCACTTAAAGTTTTGTGAAGATGTTTCATCTCTCATCCAACAGGCTTGTTCAGTTCTGTGCTTTGTGAGTTCATTATTAGGGAAGTAAAAAGAGGAAGAATGCTAAATGATCACAATAACAATCCCCTTCACAAATATTGAGTGATAGTGGATATATTCATCCAGTGGTGCAGCTATTGTTGAAGATCAGAAAGCAGTGACAAATATCCATAACAATTTTTAATAAAAAATGGGACTTAAAGGCTTTATTGTTTTTATTTTTATGTGATATTCTTCTAACTTCAATGTAGGACAAGAAAAAATGCAGATTTTTACAGCAAACCAAAGATTGTAAATTGTTTGGATTATGCGTTGGAAAAATGGCTTAATCTATAAACATAGCTGCATATAGATTTTCTGTTGCTTTATTAATTGTTGATGTTTGATACCTGTATTCCTGCAGGAACATCAGCTCAGCAGCTGGATGCCTCCTTCAGTACCAATGCCTCCTTGGAGTTTTTTGAGCTGGATTTGGCTGAGCCATCTCTGGATATGAAATCATGTGGCAGCCTTTCCTCCAGTCACAGGTAGACTAAAGAACTCTCCACAGTAATATTACTGATTTTCTATTTTCCGTCTTGCTGTTAATCAGGGCTTCTTCTTCTTCTTCCTCCTCACAGATACCACAAGTTGGTGTGGGGTCCATATGGTATGGACTCCCAGGGTCATCCCTCTGGTGTTCTCATCGCAGGTGGGGAGAATGGCAATGTTATCCTGTACGACACTGCAAAGATAATGAGCGGAGAGAGCGACGCCATCATCGTTGAGAGCGACAAGCATACAGGGCCAGTGAGAGCTCTGGATGTCAACCCTTTCCAAGTATGGTGCTTTTCACCTTGTGCAAAGGATTTCAGCTTGAAGCTGGGTTTAAATCCACTGCAGTGACTCATTTGGTGTTTTGTGTCCTTTTTTCCTGCAGTCAAACCTTGTTGCATCAGGTGGAAATGAGTCTGAAATCTATATCTGGGACATGAATAACTTTGGCTCTCCAATGACACCAGGACCTAAAACACAAGTATGAAGAATTTTAGCCCTTTTAGTCTAGAACTTACTCAGCTTGACTCGGCTCAGCTGAACTTGGTTTTTAGGGTTTTTTGATAGGTGGTAGTATCTCTTACTAAGTGCTTTTTTAGCACCTATTCGGCCGGGGTCTGAAGCGATCTGAATCAGTCCAAAAGTGTAACGTCAACAGATTGCACGCCACTGATTGGCCAGTCAGGGGCATCACTCGATGAGTCATAAGAATGACTCCTTCACAACAATCAAAACTGCCATTTTTTTAAAACCTTCTAACAAGGGAAATGGCTACACAAAAACCAACACCGTGGTGCTCAGTTGTTTTAGAAAACAACCAAAACTGAGTTGAGCCGAGTAAGTATTAGTGGAAAAGGGCCATTACATAACAACAAAATAAATATCTACTAATGGCATTTTCCATTTTCACCCAGTTGCATTTTTAACCAATGTCGGTCTTCTAATGATCAAATATGACTAAAATGTTTTCCTTTTCAGAACTTTAACTCTTTAAATGTCAGTTTGTTTACAACATGCCATGGTTAATTTTCACTATACTAAATGTGAGGCTGAACATTTTGGGAGAATTACTACAGTTAGTGATAAATCCATAACTAGAATCAGCATTAATTTGGATGCTTTTTTGTTGTAAGGACTACACAGTGCCTTTCCACTGTCATTTATACATTTCGTATACTTAAATGTACCATTTAGTGCTTTTTTGGTATTACTCTGCTATTATATCATCATCTTTCAAATATTTTAGTTGTCAGTTTTATGTTGGGCACAGTTTTGCTCAATTCATGTATCTAATTAACATTTGTATATGACACTAATGAATGAACAGTCCATATGAATGGTTTATGTTTTTCTCTTAAAGCCAATGGAAGACATCAGCTGTGTGGCTTGGAACAAACAGGTCCAACACATCTTGGCCTCAGCCAGCCCGGGGGGTCGAGCTTCAGTGTGGGACCTCCGCAAAAATGACCTCATTATCAAAGTTAGCGACCACAGCAACAGAGTACGTTGTCAGAGAAACCCTCAACATGCTGCATTTTCTCCCAGTCCTTTGGCTCTGTCTACTCAACTTAAACAGTCTAAGATCACTGTTGCGTGTTTCTTTCCAGATGCATTGTTCTGGCTTGGCTTGGAACCCAGAGGTGGCCACTCAGCTGGTCTTGGCTTCGGAGGACGACAGGATGCCCGTCATCCAGATGTGGGACTTACGATTTGCTACCTCTCCTCTCAAGATTCTAGAGCATCACTCAAGGTAAGCACTGATAAATCAGTCTAAATCTAATCTGTTTTATACTTTTTCTTACTGATAACAAGTCTCCCTAAAGACCAAAGCAGACTAAATGTATCTTTATAACAAGCTTTATCTGCGTATCCAGAGCCCGATATATCATATTCCTTTGATCCATAAGCTAATATAATTCTAAGATATAGCAAACACTTGAGCCCACTTACTCTTTCTTGCTGCTGGAATACTCAATGTAGCATCATTGTTAAACTGCTGCCGACTAGTCCATAAAATACACTGTTTCCTCCTGTCTGAGCTATGTTTGCGAAAACCTGCAGTGCTCAGCTGTACCATTAGAACCATTAGACCTTTAAATAGTGTTGATAATGTGAAAAAAAAGATTGTAACTGTGCTCTTTTTCATCTGACCGTTCATTTCACAGGGGTATCCTGGCCATTGCCTGGAGCTTAGCAGATCCTGAGCTGCTTCTGAGCTGTGGGAAGGATAGCAGGATTTTGTGCTGGAATCCAAACACAGCAGAGGTGAAAATTCTGTGTGTGTGTGTGTATGTTTGTGAACTGACAGTTATCATTTCATGATTGCCACTGAGGTTGGAAAGTCATTTTCTTGAATCCTCAGGTTCTGTACGAGTTGCCCACCAGCAGCCAGTGGTGTTTTGACATCCAGTGGTGTCCCAGAAACCCCGCTGTGTTGTCAGCCGCGGGCTTCGACGGACACATCGACATCTACTCCATCATGGGAGGGAGCAGCCAGGCACAGAGCCAGAGGCACGCTGACCAGGTAAGATTAAGTCTCCTGAAATAAAAGTATTGTTTGGGTTTTTTTTGACATTTCGCCTTTATTGGATAGCAGTAGTGAAGATATCTCCAAAAGTTGATTCTGTTCATCTGGACGTAGCGTTTTCAGTGGGAGAAACGTTTCGTCACTCATCCAAGTGACTTCTTCAGTCTCAGCTGACTGCAGGTTTCCCCAATCTTATAAACAGTACATTTGCATAATGACTGAAACCAGCCCACTGAAAGAACAGTGGGCTGGGAGTGAATAGTGAAGATAGACAGGGAAGCGGAGAGGGAGGGAGAGTGGGGAAGACACGCAGCAAAAGGCTGCAAGTCAGACTCAAAAGCTCCCAGACTGAGCTAAACCGACGACTGTTAAAGTATTGTTTTAAAAACAACATTTAAACATTTAAAACAACTATAAGAGTAGCATCATTTATATTAGACTTACAGTTGGGTCCCTGAATATTTGGAAAATGACACAGTTTTTTATAGCAGCTTTGCCTTTGTACACCACCAAGGGGATTTTAAATAGTCCAGAGCAAACTTTCAGTTTAATGTCAGCTTGAAATTAACCACACTTATCCTTTCTCTCTTTTTTCAGAGCTGTGAATTATTTATTTTTGTTCATATTAATTTGTCTACCTCGACTCTGTGTGTTTCTTACAGATTAGCAACTCGTTTGGGAACATGGATCCATTTGGGACAGGGCAAACATTGCCTCCCCTGCAGCTGCCTCAGACTCCAGCTACTCCAGCTGCAGTCAACCCCCTGAAGAAGCCACCCAAGTGGATTCGCCGACCTGTGGGAGCCTCGTTTGCAGTGAGTTCTGTGTCTTTAAGCTTTGATCAAAAGTACGGTGAGACTGCTTTTCTTTTTTTAAGCACACTTGAAATCTTTTTTGATTTGTTTCCTTTTAGTTTGGTGGGAAGCTGATATCTTTGGAGAATACAAAACCAAACCCCCAGCAGCCTCAGCAGCCCACTTCTCACGTTGTGCACATGAGCCAGGTTGTTACAGAAACAGCTTTTCTGAAGCGCTCCGACCAGCTGCAGGCCACTCTGAGTTCAGGTAACTTCGTGGACTTCTGCCAGGAAAAGATCGACGTGGCTGAAAATGAGTTTGAAAAAACTGTTTGGTCTTTCCTTAAGGTATGAGGAAGCATTAAAAAACACAATTTTTAATCAATAATGTTTTTGCTGAAATTTGTGTGGATAATGCTAATGTGGATGTTATGTGTTTTAAGGTTAATTTTGAAAGTGACATCCGTAGCAAGTACCTGGAACTTCTGGGGTACAACAAAGAGGAGCTGGCTTTAAAGGTGCGACATGTTATCTGTTCATCTGCATGTGAAATATGATGCTACGCATGTTTTTCAGTTGAACTTGTGATTAATTTATCCATTTGTTGTCAGATTTCAGCAGCACTAGAGGAGCAGTCTGCCAATCCCCTGAAGGTAAGCTTGTCAAAGCAGCTAATCTTATATTGTGAATTTTAAAGGAGTATCTCAGCATTAAATCTCTTTATGGGGTATCAGAGATAAAGGATAAAGGCCACTCTGATGTGTGTCCTTTAAAAGTGAATAAAGATGAATGTGACAGTCAATACTTAGTGTGATCACCTTTATCCTTTAACATAGCCTGAAGTTTGTTAGCAAGCTTTCTTGTCATTTCTTTAACTGCTCTTAGTAGTTTTTTTCTGTTCTTAGTTAAGATGATCCCACACTCCGCCAATAATGTTGAGATCTAGGTTCTAGGAATGCCAAACAACACTGATACTGATAGTGTTTTTCTATCCAGGTTTGCTTTTACTGCACTCGCAGTGTGTTTGGGATCATTGTTATGGTGAAAAATAAAGCTGGTGCAAATCAGATGCTTTCCAGGTGGTATTGCATGGTGAATCAGAATCTGGCAGTACTTTTCTGTGTTCATAATTCCATCAGTTTTGACAAAATCCCCAGCACCACTCAGTGAAATGCAGGTCTAAACCATAACATATCCTCCTCCATGTTTTACAAAGGGCTGTAGACACTCTCTCCTAACCTCCTCTGTTAAATTGATAATGATGTGAGCCAAAGATTTTAAATTCAGTTCTTGTGTAATTTGGCATACCTCAGCCTTTTCTCCCTGTTTCCCCGCCTTTCTGATGAAGCTTTCTCAAACAGTAGACAGATTAACTGAAGGGCAAGATGTGTCTCTCAGGACCTGTGTCAGGTCTTTGCTGGATTTATTTCTAATTCTTAATAATGTGACTTTCCAATACTATTTATCTGCTGAAGTTTTTTTTGTTTTTTTAGATCTTCTTCTTTTGTCCTCCACTCTTCAGTTTCCTCAGTCTTTTAAAGGATACACTACACACAACCTGTGTAAAAAATACTGTTTTATTCTTGTCAAACTGTAATATCTTTGACATTTTTCATAGATTTAACTTAAATATGAAATGGGAACAAATGATATGTTTTTGCGATGGGCTGCTAGTAACAAAGTGCATATGCATGTAGACAACACCCTGAATGAAAAGGAAGCAAAAAGTTTCAACTTTGGAATGAAACCTTTCCAGGCTTTTCCTAGTAGCAAGAAAGAAATATGGATATCAAAACATTATTGACATGATTCTGGCTCATCTGACATTTCATTCTGTGGGTAAAGCAGCAAAATTATATCTCAATCGGTGAAGTTAATAACAATTTGTAAAAAAAAAAATCATTAAACATAATGTTTGCAGTCTAATGATGAATAGTAGCAGTTTTATACTGGAAAATGTATCACTAAACCGCTGTTCAGGTTTCCAGACAAGGACTACACACACAGTGTCACCACTTTCATAGCAGGAAGACTTAGCAGCTCAATAATGTAACATTTCCTTCAGGTTTTGTTGGACTCCAAAAACTGAACTGAAAGACCACATCCCATCACGCTCACATTTATCAGGTGCACACAAATGCAACACTACATGCAACATTAAACATAATGAAAAGCTGCTACAAGGGTCAGCCTGCCTCTTTAAAAGGATGTAGCTGTTACCTTCTAAAAAACTTCCTATGGTTTTGAAATGTTTGTCTTTCCATTCCAAGACCATTTCTTAAATGAGCAAAGTTTTACATTGATGTAAACTTTTTATTTGCTCCTCACGTGTATTTTCACGATACTGCTATGCTATGCAGTCCATATTTCACCCCACATTGGTCTCCATTCAACTCAGCCTGTTCTGATCTGTTCGCATTTGTTCACTGACAGAAGAATAAAAAAGTCTGACTGATTGCTGCTGGCAGTAATTACAGCTTGTCAAAGCCTCAGTTCACGGCGGAAAAGATGTAAAGTGTTTGTCTCTGTCTTATGTTTTGCAATATGGGAAGTGTTGTAAGCAACAAAGTCATGTTTCAATGCTATAAATTCAACTTCGCTTTTTGACATTACTCAGAGGAAGCTCGACGTTTGAAAGTCACAATCACAGCAAAAAAGTGGAAATTCTTGAGTCTGCAGTGCCGCACACTTTAGGAAAGCACTCTGTCACACGCGCTTGTATGCACTGCTCACTTTCTGTATAAATGTATTGCAGTGTTTATGCATCTGCTTCCACCAGTGACCTCAAATAGGAGCTTTACTCCAGTGCTAAATCTAGTGATTTTGCTTTTGTCTTCATTCTCTGACATATGGAAAATAATATTGGTCTGACTTAGGTTCTGATCCCAGTTTGAAATTCACATTTCCCTAAATGTTGATTTAAATACACTTTTTTTTTTTTTTAGCTGAAACCAATCGAATAATATATGCCTGACCTGACTGCCCCAGTAAGCTGAATCCATACTGTTTCTGGTGATGCACACATCCCAGCCTCAGCCTGATGTGGCAGATCATATTATGCAGTTGACTCTGAATCCATCTCCGCCTCTTCTGTTCAGGTGGATGTGCCCGCTCCAGCCACGCTGCAGCCATTAGCAGACCTCAGCTTCATGCCGCCTGCTGACACTCCAGAGGCAGCATTTGACATGATTGCTGCTGTAAACCTTCAGCCTGCAGCCATGCTTGATCTCAATTCCACTCCTGAAGCAGAGGATGAGGATACAGCAGCACCAGTGGCAGATCCAGAAGATGCTCTTCGCAGTGAGCCATATGCAAATTTGGATCAGGTTCTCCCAGAGTTGGAGGTGGATGAGAATGAGAATGAGGAGGAAGAGGAGGAAGAGATCCCCTTAGATCAGGTACACCTTTGTTTCCCCATTAAAAAGAGCTGAGCAGCAAAGTTACAGGAGTGCAAACTTTTTAGCTGTTTTCAGTAATGAACTTCAGATAATTTGAGGAGAATCAATACAGCATTATTTCCACAGCTGTCCATGAATTAGTAATAAAATGTGATTAAGATAATACATTGTTTAAATTTATAATAGAGAAAACTCAATGAACAAAAAATAATCCAAAATCATTTTGGCTGTAATGTGGAGCTGTCACCAAATATTAAAACAACCTATTGGAAACTGATTGAACACTACGGAAAGATGAAAACACCTGTCTGGGTGTGCATATTTTTTTTATAATTAATGAACCATGTAATCTGATTACTAACACTGTTTGACTCTTCATGCAGGAATAGATGGATTCTGGGTTGGTTTTAGGCATGCTCAAGGGGTTAGTCCAAACTGAAATATCTCAGAAAAAACTGTATGAATTGTTATAAAGTTTGGTACGTATACCCTTGTTGCTATGGCAACATTTACTTGATTGAAATAGCAAAAATTTGGCACAGGTATCCACTGTGCCAGGAAGGTGGAGGGCTCACTAAAGTTATCATGAGACTGGCAGTTGTTGTTTTAAATGAAATATCTCAGCATCTTTGGGGTGGCCTGTCATGAAGTTGTTGATCCCATGACTTTGCATAATCTTACATTTCTGAAATTTACAAAACTAAGGACATTTCAGTGAGTCTCAGCTGCACTTTATAATGCTAGTGAGCAAGTGTTGGCATGGTAACCTGCTAAATTATGATTATGAAACTGTACTGTTACTAAGTTTAGCCTCAGGGCCTTTCATTATGTTAGAAAATCTTTAGTATCCTGGAACACTTGAAGGCTGGAGAAAAGATTGAAGCATCATTACATGTTTCTGTTGTTACAGGAGATGACAGCATCAGTTGATGAGGAGCCCATTCCTGCTGAGACATTAGCCCCTATTGAGGTCCGAGCTCCAGCTCCAACACCAGCAGGAGGGGTCAATCTCAGCATTAGTCAAGGTAACAGCACTATCAGTGTTTCAACACATTAACTCAGTAATTTGTTGTTTGCCCTGGGATTTTAACCATCATCAAATTGTAACGGGTATGGATATGTGGCAGGATAAATCCAAAGGTGTGTATAGTAAGGCACCAGAGAGTTGAAAAAGAAATCCACTAGGAGGTGGATTTAAGTGGAAACTTATACTCTTCTGACTCATTATTACTAGTATTTTCTTCAGTATTAAATGAATCTAGTTAGAGATGTCTGAACTTTTAACAGCTAAGTCTGCTGCTTTTGAGGATTTACTTTTCTTTCAGTAGAGGAAGAAAAAGCAGCTCTTTATAAAAGAAAAGCTCAGACATACATTTAAAGCAGACAGCTGTTATATGATTATAAATTGGTTGAAGGTCTCACACCAGTAAAGACAGAAGCCATTCGAGGAGGGCTTTGTTTGTTGGACATGAAGATGTCACATTTATGAAGCTCACACCTGCCACTGGGTTTTTTCCTAAACATAATGGGGTTTTTTATTTCTTGCCAGATGTGGATGGGCTCATCACACAAGCTCTGCTGACTGGAGACTTTGAGGGCGCTGTGGAGCTTTGTCTCCATGACAACCGATTGGCGGACAGCATCATATTGGCCATTGCTGGAGGGCCAGAACTTTTAGAAAAAACCCAGAAGAAGTATTTTACAAAATCACACAGCAAGATAACCAAGGTGACAACTGGGGGAAACTTCCTTGAGTGTTTTTTGATTAAGAACGCGTTACTGGTGTTGTAATTGTGTATTTGTCCTGCAGCTGATCAATGCAGTGGTAATGAAAGACTGGCACGACATCCTGAAGACGTGTGACCTTCAGAACTGGAAGGAGGCTCTGGCAGCCGTCATGACCTACGCTCAGCCTGAGGAGTTCTCTTCCCTCTGCGGTTAGTTCACATGTATTTTGTTGTTGGATATCAGGGGGTCGATCACCTTTTTTAAGGTGAAGACTTACTGTTTGAATTTAGTATTTAGATTTTCTTCTCTATCCAGGCATTTTGTAAATTCTATATAAATAAATCTATTTTCTTTACTTACATTCAGTCCATCCTGATTTTCAATTTTTTTAAGACCTTCTTGGGGACAGACTGGAGGCATCAGAAGATGCTAACCTACAATCCCAAGCCTGTTTGTGCTACATCTGTGCTGGCAATGTGGAGAAACTTGTCTCTTGCTGGACCAGAGTGCAGAACGGACACTTTCCTCTCTCACTGCAGGTATAGAAGCTCTGCTGCTCATGTTTTGTTTTTCAAATGTGTAGTGGCACATGTTTAGCTGCTTTGTAGGTGGCAGAAACAAGCTTATTAATGCTTTTCCTTTGATTGAACAAATTTGTCTTTTATCTTTCAGTTTTGTTTCTTCCAGGAATATGTCTGGCTTTTTAGCTGCTAAACACTCCTCTATGTTCACTAGCTCTCTCCAGCTGTGTCTTTCTGCTCTTTGTTGATTAGCAGGAATTAAACAGTGGCTTATTAGAGCTTTTACAGTGGGAATGAACCAAAACAATCCTATTTTGAGCTTAGGACAGTCACTACCTTTCATTTCGTCATTTTGCGTTATATTATGAACAAAAATATTCATTTTACTTTAAATCTGTGCTAACCAATATTTTTTGTATTAGTAATGGCTCAAGTGATAAGTCATTGCAAAGAAATTCTGAGGAAAATCTTCACCTAACCCTGCAGTGTCCCTGCATTTCCATTCCAGGACAAAACTATATGCTACCACTCCAGCACCAAAGAGCACACAGACACAAGTAGCAACTGGCTGGTGAAGACTGTGAAGTGTTTAGCAGCTAAAGAGACAGTTTTCTGGAGACAAAAATAGAAAGCACGTCCTAAACATGAAGCCAAATTAAAGTAGATAAAGTTGCTGGTTAAGTAAACAGGGAGCTTGTGGATTATGAACTGTTTATAGTTGGCAATAAGCCAATATTTCTCGAAGTGACCATTGACATATTTAATTAATGACATTGTCGTGCTCATATATTGTGCCTCTGTGCCTCAGGACCTGGTGGAGAAAGTGGTGGTGCTGCGGCGTGCAGTAGAGCAGACCCAGCGCTCTGGCCCCGCTGCTATCGGCATCCTGCTAGCTGAGAAGATGAGCCAGTATGCCAACCTGCTGGCCTCCCAGGGCAGTTTGGCCACTGCCATCACCTATCTGCCTGACAACAGCAACCAGGTATGTACACAGCTGCTGTTTGTTGCACCTGCTCTCTGAAAAGTGTGTGTGTGTGTGTTTTTTTAATATTTTAATATTTGGGAGTATTTGTCCTTAATGAGATATAAATTTCCATGAATACACTCGGCCTAATCATCCCTGCTGTTTTTCATTGTTACTGGTTATAGGTTTGTTTTCATGACCATGAACAGAGTCTATAGTATTAATTAAAAGCATCAGTTTAAACGAAGCACCACTGAACTGGACTGCTCCACCATTTTAGTGCTGTTCTTACTTAGGATTACGTGTCTGTCTGTGCAGTGCACCTGTACAGGTTGAAATGCTGCTTGCTCACCAAGCTTGTTAGTGTTGCTGTTAACAGGACTCTAACAGTTTTACATTAAAAAAGTTCTTCTCCATGCAAACATCCAGACATTTAAATGACAGTAAATGACCTTTTTCACGTTCAACAATAGAAATTTAGATTTTTATATAGTCAGTTTATATATATTTTTTTGTCAGTTCTTATATTAAGACACCTGAGGGATTCAATGTGTTGTTAAACCTCTTTACATTGACAGGTTTGGTTCATTTAAGGTTAAAGGGGGCTCTATGAGACCCACAATGTGAAATGAGTTTGACATCACAGGTTTGGACCATCAGACCCCAGACAGACATGGTCAAATAGAGGGACTTAAGCAAAAAACCCTTACTAAGCTCATTTCTTTTTTACTTAAATAACAAATGGAGTTATTTAATTTGTCTGTGTGCAAAGCAATAAAAATGTATAATGTTTTTCAATCTGTTTAGTTTCATAATTCTTAATCTTATTTTTTTTTCTTAAATAATAACAGAGGTACCAAACATACAAACAGTAAAAACCATTTTATTCCAGTATTTTTTTGATGGCATGCACACTTTTTATTGTGCTCAGTTATTGGAAACTACAGAAGGAAAAAAAATGAAGTGATCAGTTGAGAAGTATTGCTGTTACTGGTGTTTTTTGAAATCATTTATTATCATTTAATATGCAATGTAGCTTTCCTGATCAAGAATGTCGGGATCTAACCCAGGTCTTTTGCTCCATTCAGGTTGCCATTCAGCAGCTTCGTGACCGTCTCACTCGGGCTCTTGGGCAGCAGGGGTTGGCTCCTGGAGCTTCAGTGCAAACCCAGAGAGCTCCATCTCAGCTGCCTGCCCCTCGGGCTCAGCTTCGGCATCCTTACACCCAGGTCCATCCCACCATGGTGCCTCAGCCCACCCCAGCAGCACCAGTGCCCATGCCTACATCCGCCTCCGCCCCAGCACAGCCACAGTATTACCAGCCAGTATGTTCCGCAGAGCTGCCACTACATCTCATAACAGTGTTTACACACAGATCTGATTTTCTTGGTTCTTATCTCTCTATCATTTACTCTGATTTGCATTTGTTATGATTTTATTGACAAATTTTTTATACAAATGTATAAACTACCCAAGAATAAGATTCTGAAATCCAGCATAAACATACACAGTCTTAACTACACTGTAATAAAAAAATTGGATTTAAAAAAGAGATACTGCAAGTAAGTGATCGCCACATTTTCCCACATTAATGAAAACAGATGTATAACCATTTTCATACAATATAATACAATTTCATAGAATATAGTTAACATAGTTTCTTTTCTTGGGAGTTTTGTTTATTCAACAATATCTGTCTTTAAATCTAGGAAATGAGAAGATCTCTCTCTCTTAGCCTTAATTTACAATTCCAGTTCATGTGTGTGGATTAATCTGTTCTTTGATGTGTTCATGTTGAATCTTGATTTAAGTTTATATCAGACCTGAGGGCAGACTGGTCTATTTCCTGTTCTTCCTCTAAATTTGACATCTCCACACTTACTAACTACCTGACAAAGTGCTCATTTTAATTTCCTGATGTGTTGTAGTCATTTCATCATTTGCCAGTCCATTCTTGCCAGGGTTTAAATGACAAGCTGTGGGTACTTTTATCAGCATCTGGGCAATTTTGTTACTGTGTCTAAACTTTCTTTCAGGATGTTGTGTTCTTGTAATTTGAACCTTGGCTCGTATAAAGTCCTCTCTTATGTCCACCCGTCCAATGTTTGTGCATTGTGGCGTTGTTTGGTGTGTGCTCCCCTCCCATGCTGCGGCCATCATTGGTATGTGCCGTGTGTTTCTGTGTGCTTCAGATGAGGGCAGCCTCCACTGTCACCTCCTGGAGTAACCAAACTCCCACAGCCCTCCCCAATGTCCCTCCTCCTCTTCAAGTAGGCAGCGCCTCTGACCAGAAGGTATACTGAGCATTACTGCCCATTCAACCTTGACACACACTTCTTTTTGCAATTTAAAAAGCTTCACTGAGCAGGCCAAAGGTCCACATCCCAAACCTTCCCATGGCTTCCAACCCTCATTGCTAGCTACCATCACTGAACTTCCTGTTAGTACTTCCGTGGCTACAGTGCATTCAAAAGCTTCATTCAATCTGTTTCTGCTGCCGCCTCATAATTAATGTGAATCACTGCATGATTTATAGCTTACTCTTCATGGTTTAAAACAAAATGCATGCCCTTCTGCACAAATTAAGCTTCACTGAAGTGCGGTTATTGCATCACTTTTATCTGTGAAAGTTCTTTTAACATAAGACTATTCTGCCCTCTAGCAAAACTAAGCTTTATTATAATCACTACATAACTTGCTTTTGTAGAGCACAGTGTTGATTCTCAGTGGACAGAGGAGGAAGAGTTCAGATTTGTTGTCCCTGCTTTTTCAGGTGGAGCCTTCAAACCCGATGTACGGGATTCCAGCCTCAGGCACGGCTGCAGCTCCTCCAGTCTCCTCCCCTCCTGCCTACATGTATTCTCATCAGTACCAGCGTAAGTGTTTTCACTTCCAGAACTTAGCTGTCTATCATGAGGGGCATTGGCTTACGAAAAAAATAGATTTCATTTTAGTAGAACAACCTTGTCTTGCACATTAGGCCCAAATTTATCAATATGTATATATATATTTTTTTTCTGTATTACTACATTAATACACACACATACCCTTGACAATACAATGCACAGTTTGTGCTTCATTTGGTGGTTTCAGTAAGAAACAGTTTACCAGCTTGCACATTTCAAACACATTTGATACAGTTTTATTCAAGGTTTTTTTTTTTGACCTAACAAACAGGAATATTCCTACAATATGATCCAGTTAGATGATCATGGGCTACGAAATTATATTTGTTGATAAAAGTTCATCAAATGGGCTCAATGTAATACCCGTTTTCAACTCCAGATACTAGAAATCTAATTACTATTTATCTTTATAAGCCCCGAGTCATCTATCTGCAGTTCCGGCCTGCAGTGTAATCATCAGTGTACAGACAGTTATCTCTGGGTTACTGAAACCATGAGGAAAACTTCAAAACCTGATGATTATATAAAAGTTGCTTTTATTGTCTCCTTTCTGTGATTTCTGGCTACAGAAGCTATTATTCATTGATGATGCACACTGAGCTAATTTCATTGAACCAAATCAGACCAACATAATGAACACACAAGTTTGAGCTGTGCAGGTTTGATCATTTTTGGCATATTTTAAAGCTGCACTTACAAGAAAAAAAAAACTGGTGTTGAAGCGCTGTACTTGTGAACGGGGTTAGGTGGAGCATGCGCTCCTCCTTCAGGCTGCAGTGACGTATGGGAAAATGAATCAACAGTATCTAAATGTTGTATAAAGGAGACAGGATTCCACCAGTTAATCTATTTGTGTATTCTTTGAAACACTAACAAGTATTTTGCTGTTTAACGCTAATGTCGGATCTCTTCTGTGCTGTCATACTTAATCTTAGTTACTAACAGGAAGTGAGAATGTTCAGTTTGTATATCTCTTTGTGAAAACATTAAGTACTTCAGCATGCTCTGCACTGTAGCCATCCTGTTGCATGGTGCACTTGGTTTAACATGCAACAGTTTTTTCACTAACAGAACATCCTCTGTGTGACTCCCAGCTTACCCCCAGGTCAACCAGTACCAGCATGGAGCTGGTGGCATGCCTCTCTTTCAGCCTCTTCAGTACTCCTCTGTTCCTCCTCATCCACCTCCTTCAGTAGAGCCATCCTCCCCTCCTCAGCCCCCTGGCTTTCTCTCTGAGTACACACAGCCCGTCCAGTCTCAGCCAATATCTTCAGTCTATCCTGGACAGCCTCCCATCAACCAGTGCCTGTCCTCCTCTCCTCCTTCCCAGCCTCTTTTCTTTCCTAGCTCTTCTTCCTACTCCACTCCTCCGTCCTCTGGAGTTTCTTTCCAGCATGGCGGGCCAGGATCTCCTGTGTCGTACATGCCTCCTCCACCGAGTGGAGTCTCAGGTACAAAGATAGACAACAAGCTGATCCCCGCCTCTCAGAGAACAGGTCTGCATGCCTCTAATCACCCTCACTGTCACTGTGCTCCTTACAAATTCTCTCAGCCTTTAAAACTAGTAGGATTCCAGTTTCCTTTGTTTACCTACACTAACAGTTAATATCATATCTAGTTACTAAATGAATTCATTTCATTAGTGTTAACCTGCAGTGCAGGTTATTACATCTTACCTGCTATAATGTGAATAATAACAGACTTTTTCTGGTGACTATTAAATTAAATCTTAATTATCAAAGCAATTTGCATTTAAATGGTGCGCTGGTTATACAATAGTAAATATGTTTTCTGTTACTGTTTACAAAAAGGGAACATATTGGGTGTCTGAAGGTCATTTCTCACAATAAAAGCACTCAGAATGTATTATCCACATAGACAGTAACTTTAAACCCTAAATGGCAGATGTTTATGTTGTAAATGTAAATCTTACAATACTTACATGTCCCATACAATTATGGGTAGGTTTCATATTTAGCAATGATGTTCAATTTGCTTCTATTTACCTGTGTCATCTTAGTATATATGGCAGGAAGGTATGCACAAAAATCAATTAAATAGTACTACAATGGAAATTGAATATGCTTTCTGCATTAAGCTAATATTACGCCTATACTTATTCCGGTGACATAGCACAACCAGATGATATTTTATTCAGACAGCAGTTCAAGTGTGAATCAATAGTGTCCTGCTCTAAAAGACTGCAAAAAGCAACAATGTCACAGGTTTTCAGCAAGACAGTGATAATCGAGACTGTCCTTTTCTGATTTGTTGGGAGAATTCACCAACTATGAACACGTAAACAAACCAGACTACTTTTTTTTCCCATAGATAATAGTAATCATACAGTTTAAACTGTGTAAAAATCAGTGTTGTCCTATGGCTGAAAACATTTCCAACTGAAGCTGAGAGAAATGCTAAATGCTCAGATGACAGAGTTGTTATGGACACAGCCAGGTAATCATACTTTTTACACTTTGCATGGCTCCACAGAGTATGAGAAAATCACAGGTATAATTGTGACCTGCTTACAATCACACGTGTAATAAAATCCATCTATTCTGGAAGAAATTTGCACAACGTTTTTGTTGATACGATGCAATCATCTTTAACATTCACAATAATTAATGAAAACCACAGTGAATACTTACTCTTAAACATAACAGAATCTAATGATTATACAAATCAAAGTTTGGTTAACAATGTGTTTTTGCACCTGGTTAGCATTTATAAGCAGTTTAATTCATGGTATGTAACACAAAATAATGTCACTTTTAAATGATAAAAGTTAAATTTTATTGAACAATGTCATAATAGGTGGCAGCTGTTTAAACATTTAAGGAATGGCACCGTAAAGCAGTGATAAGTGATTGTTTTCATTGCTGAAAAAAAGAATTAACGATAAATGCTGCGCATTAATAAAGAACTAAAAAATCTTTATAGCTCCTTAGAGATATATCATAGTCTGTTATCCATAACCAATTAATGTGGTTATATTTTTTAAACTTCTTATAAATGCTAATAGGGGGACTTGTAATAAAAATTCAGAACATGAGACAGATTTGTTTTCCATTATAGGGCCTCAGAACGGCTGGAATGATCCTCCAGCCCTGACCCGAGCCCCTAAAAAGAAGGTAGGTTTCATTAATCAGAGTTTGAGTGACACATTTTAGAATTAAGACACATTTATATTACTCTGTTGCTGCTGTTCGACAGGCAGTTTGAGGAAGTAAATTGATTTATTTGTAGTTATTGAAATTGTTGGATGAGAAATGCCGTTTTGTGGTCTGTTTATACCTGATTCTGCCTAAATGATGTGAACATTTTGCCTGTCGTTGTTCCTCTGGACAAAGGTACCATTATCTGAAATATAGAGTGAAAATTGAAAAAACGCAATGCAAGCTGAAAACTGAGGCAGTTTTAGTTTTTATGGTAATATGAAACATTTTGAGGTAACTCAAGTTATGTATATATATATATGTGTGTGTGTGTGTGTGTGTGTGTGTGT